CATCCACACACATCCACGCTGACGCCGACTCCCACGCCGGACGCCCACGCCCGACGCCCACGCCCGACGCCCACGCCCGACGCCCGACGCCCGACGCCCGACGCCCACGCCCGATGCCCACGCCCGACGCCCAACGCCCACGCCCGACGCCCAACAGCCCAAGCCGACGCCCACGCCGACCGCCAGACGCCCGAGCCCAGCCCACGCCCGACCCCGACGCCCGACGCCCGACGCCCACGCCCGACGCACGACGCCCCCGACGCCCACGCCCCCCGCCGAGCCCACGCCCGACGGACCGACGCCCACAACCACGCACACGCCCGACGCCCGACGCCGACGCCACGCCCCGCCCAAGCCCGACGCCCACGCCCGCACCCCAACGCCCACGCCCACGCCGACGCCCGAAGCCCGACGCCCGACGCCCACGCCCCACGCCCGACGCCCACGCCCGACGCCCACGCCCGACGCCCACGCCCGACGCCGATGCCAGCACCGCATGAAGAGACGCGCGCCCGCCTGCACGCGTGCACACGCGCAGGCGCCTAGTTCGATTTCTATTTTACGTCGTGTAGCTTGCTCGGAGGCCATCCGGCATTCTTGGTTCGACAACAGAGGAGTTCATCTGCAAAATGGGTGTGGGGATGCTGAAATGGCTCGGTCCTCAGCCGAATCTGCCATTCTGCAGGCGAAGGCTGAAACTATTCTTGGTTCCTGCCAAAGCCAAAAGCTAAGGCTTCACTACTCGAGCAATGCTTCAGGATTCCCGTCGGCCATTCACGCTGGCATCCGCGTAAGTACTCTGCCCTCCTCTCTATTCATATCTCGTTTGAGTATGCCCCTTGTTGCTTCTGAGAGATTAATGAGTCGAAAAGTTTACCTGCATACCACTCTTGAACGAAGATGCATTTGTCCTGTGTTGTGGCTGAAGGCATCTGGGCAATCATGTCATTGGTCATTTCAGTGGTGCCCTCCACCTCATTCTGCAAAGGAGGATGCACCGTTTTTCGCAACGAACGCAGCTGCAGAAAACCGTCATGCAGGGGACCTACAGCATCTGCAACAACGTTTGCAATGGCAGCCGCGTCACGTCATCAGTCATGCTGCAATACTGGATAAAGCTGAGTGCTTTCAATTTCAGGCTTTTGAATCACTGCGTGTCGTGAAAGGTACAGCATGGTGGCGTTCGCACCTTTGCACAACCACCATATGGAGCAGCTTCGCCTCTTACCTGAGAATATATCAGCGATGTGCCACGAAGTTTAGAGAAAGGGGTTAATCGGCCAAGGTGCTGCGTTTCTGTTCGCAGATCGAGGCAGGTTGAAAGCTGTGGGGAGTCAATGAAGCATGATCAAGTCCAGTCGCCTTTGGGGTCGACGCGACACATGACCTTGATGCCCTGAAGGCACAGCTGCAGGGCATCTTGTCACTGTTGGTGACTGTTGGTGCTGGGACGTGCAGCGCATGTCGAGTGAACATGTGCACGTAGCCAAGGGTGAGCTGCTTCGAGTTTGTGGAGCTGGGAAGGAAGTACAGCTCCTTCACTTCTGCTCAGTTGCGCCAGATCTTTGCCACCGCAAATGTTTCCAAGACTGGGAAGCTGTCTTACTGAGCCTTGCCTGATCTTGCCTGCATTCCGTTGCCGGTTTTCTGCTTGGCCGGAAGTCAAGTGTGTGGAAGGTGAGTGGTTGACTGCCTCTGCAGATGATCAGTGGTACAGGATCAAGGAGCATGCAGAGAGGGCGTGCTTTGGCAGCGCAGCGTTAGTTGTTTAGTTCATGTTTTCTGCAAAGGCGTGTGCGCCATTGATGCTATAGTGTTTCTGTTCCGCTGCACGTTTCGTTTCTGCATGTGGGGATGCCAAGGTTTGACACCCTCGATGTGAAAAGAAGCGGCTGTCTGCGTGCGTGCGACTTGAGCCGCTCGCTCTTCGACAAGAGGGAAAGTTGTCACAGTTTGCGAGTACGGGCACGCGTCACAAAAAACATGGAATTTGGGAGAGCTTCACTGGTGCTTCCTTCCCCAAAGATCTGAGCCGTCATGCGCCACCGCCAGCATAGCTTCATATGCGGTGACGTACGGAGGCAAGTTGCTGCCGAAGGTGTCGGCAGCTCAGCTCAGCGCTCGCCAGCTCTCTCTCGGACATGTTTAGTCAAAAAGTACAGGCAGAATCCAAGCACTGTTTGTTGTCAGTCGAAGGTTCGATCTCCAGGAGATCGAAGAGGAGATCATAGGGATGTGCTCCAAAGGCAGCTCGCAGAGATGATTTTGTCGTGCCGGGTCGCCGTGCTGAATGCAGCAGCGAAGCATGGCTGAGTGCTGCTCCCTGCTGACAGGTGAGGGCAATCTCCGCTTTGAGCAGTTTGTGGCTTGCGCCGTCTCCTCTGATTTCTACTAGGGGAGCCTTTTGAATCCGGTGAGGACGATGTCCCAGTGCTGGGGCCAGGCTCCTCCTACGATGATCACTTGTGCAGCGTTGCCCGGCCACCTTGCCGTGTTCTAACAGGGGCTTGAACGGGCCTTTTCTGGCCTTGCGCTTTGTATAGTGCCGGCGCTTCCGGACTCCCGTGGACCTTGGCTGGGTTGTAGACGGTGGCAGCAACATCTAAATTGTAAATCGTTGCAATACTGTTGCAATCATGGATTGTCACAAGATGTCACAAGTGCAAGATGCACTTTGTTGTGCGCGTGCAGCCTCGAGCTTGTACAGCAATCCGGGTAATCAGAGCCTGCATGGAACATCTTTTGTCCAGGTCGGCAACATGCAAGCGCACAGCCCATTATTCAGAAGATGGATGATCACACTGTGATCACGGGTGTTGCAATGATCTTTTCGCCGTCTTCACTCTTGCAAGCTTGAGATTGGGCCAATGCTTGGGCTTGCGCATACTTGCATGCAACTGCTGACAACCTCCATCGGCTTCCCAGATGTGGATGTGGCTATGCAGCCCCCGCAGCCGCTGAAATTCAGCTTTCGGCAAGTCGAGTGGGTATAGTTGAGATCTCTGCTCCCTGCTAAAGAGGTGGCTGCAGACTGTTCTTTGCTTGGCACTATGGCAGCTCTTCTCCTTGCAGTTTCGTGCCGTCGCCGGTGCGTACATTTTGCTTGCCCTGAATATCTCTTAACATTCTTGTGAAGAAGCTGCCAACCCCCCTGCTGGTCAGGCATAAGCAGTTATGAAAGAAGAAGAGGGAGTCGGCATTTTGTATCAGCAAAATGGAAGGCCTCCACAGCAACCACAGAAAGATGTGGCCTTCATCTCCTCTATATTTCAATGGGAAAACCGTTACTTCCTGTTTTTTTAAATTATTGCTGTATATTCAAACAGGAAACCTCTATGTCCTTCTTATTAGGACCACCATTGTTTAATTGAAATTTGGGTTGGAAAACTTCAATAGGAAGACTTTTATTACCTTTAATTTCTCTTCAAAGGTTTCCCTTATTTTCTCTACAAAGCCTCTGCTGTATATGCCTTATAATATTTGAATGCTTTTTCACGGGCAAACCTTGTCCTTTTTGTGACCTTGCCCCCCCGAGCGGCGCCCCGCCATACCCTCTGAGTTTGTTTGTCCGATCTTCAAGCAGAAAAACAGTTTAGTGATGAGAGCAGACCTCGAGAATGGGCCGGCGCCGCTGCAAAGCGGTAGACCCAGCACCAGCCTCTTAGCCTTACCCGTTGGCAGGCCGAACGTAGGCCTGTGCTCATTGAAAGAACACAGCGCTATTGCTCCTGCAGCAGTATTGCAGTTTGTCCTTCTTCGCAAAGGCCTCCATGTCCACGTTGCCAGCGAGCCCAGGGGGTTCGAAAAGGTTCTTGTTTGTGGGACTCCTGATTCCATGTTTCGTTCCTGGCCCTCGGAGTTGGTGCCTTAAGCAAATACGGCAATGAGAACGATGTGCTGCTTCTGCTCTTAAGATTTCATGGCAGGTTTTCTTTTGGATGTCCTGCTGTGTTACTCTTTAAAACAGACCAGCTATGAAATTACACGATCCGCCTTCTCTCTTCCGTGCACGGGCCGTCGCCAACGATCATTTTGTTGGGGTTGTGTGGGCGGTCTTGTGCATGGCTGGGATGCTCGGCTGCCGGGGATCGTTTCGGATGAGCAAGGGCACCCAGTCTTGTCACACCCTGGAAGGCCTCTGACCCTGAGAGAAAACAAGTTCTTCAAGTAGTTCGAGAAAGCCTTGAAGTTTTGCCCCTTTTGGCCGTCCCCGCCCAATGGCTGAACAAGCGTGGAGGCAGCAACAAGCTCGGCCTCAGCATCAGGCCATGTCGAAAAGCGTACCCCCTCCTCATATAAACGTTTTACCTGGCTTGTACGTGTGTTCGAGTCAGCTGCCATCATCTGCCATCATGGTTCTGTGTTTCTTTTTGCTTGCTGAGCTGCTTCACACCCATACAGTAGTTTTACACCCATATTGCTGTGCGTGCCGCGTGGCGCTCAACGCCCGCTTTCCGCCTGTTCCTGAGCATCTGAACGTGTGCCCCTATATCAGCCTATATCCCTATCAAACTTCACTGGGCTGCTCGGCGCAGGCCCGCAGAAGAGCGCATGGAAGCCTCGTGCAGGGTCCTAGATGAAGCTCTCCGACTTGGAACTTGAGGGCGGGAAGGGTGAAAAACTAAATGGTTCAAGAGTCCAAGGTGCGTTTTCTGAAGATCCTGATTCTCACGCTCAGGGGAGAGCGCTCACGAGAGTGCGTTTCCGCCTGTCAATTCTTCTTGAGGCGTCGTTTTCAGGTCTATTGCATGAGCACATGTGAGCACTATCCGCAGCCATCAGAGGCGCCCAAGCTTCATGGAATCGTAGACAGCATTGAGATTCAATGACAGGTCGCAAAGACGGCATGCTCTTCCTGGTGATCTAATCTAATGTTTTGCACAGGTGGAAGCAGTGCTCATGAAGCATCTGCCTAATGACGCTGCGACCTTGCACCTGTTGGCCAACTCCTACCCATACTCCAAGACACTAGTTTGATGTGGGAGTGTGTGCCGTATTGTGCTCTTGTGAGGATTATTCCAGGCAGATGTACCAGCCCCAAGAACGTCTGCAACAGTCTTGCGAGCAGTCCATGGGTTCATATGGGTTCAGAGTCTGAATCTCTGGATGGACTCCCGCCTGTCAGGCAGACTGAACTGACTGAACCTGAAAAGACCATGTGCCTCTTTCAAATGATGCAATGAAGTTGCAGCTCTTGTTGCAGTTGGAGACTGCGGGCGAATTGGAAAAAACGCCGTTGCTCAACTGACAGGGGCCGACGTGCCTCGCGCCGGGCGCTCCTGGACAGTGATGACTCCCCGGAGGCTGGAGATGTAGCGCAGGAGATTACGAGAGGTGGAGTGGAGCACATGAAGCAGCATGGGGCAGCCCATGGCAGCCTGGAGTAGCATGGAGTAGCATGGAGCAGCATGGAGCAGCGAGACAGCGAGGTTAACACACAGACTGCCTCGGCGCTATTGCGTGCAGTGGAGAAGCCAGGGGCAGCAGGCAGAGTTTGACAGTCGGTGTTCACGTTTGGCAATGTCGGGCTGCTTTGCAAGACACATGCGGCAACAGCTAGCTCACGATTCCCCACATGTGTCATGCATCAATGTGCAATGCGCCCAATAACCCTGTATGCCGATTTCCATGTGCGCAGCTAAAGTTGTGCCTAAACAGCTTGGGCGGCATTCGCAACCGAGATCCGCCCAACCTCGGGACGAGCAATGGCCTGGCAGAGGTGAGATGCCGTGGTTTTGGGGAGATGGCTCCAAAGGCTTTGAAACCTGTCAATGCCTACCAGCTACTGTAGACATTAAGCCTTAGACAGAACAATGGGAATGTCGAGATCAGGTCAGGTATGCACCTTGGAGGTTGCTATTGTTCTCTCTGTGCCCAACCTCCTTCCAGAATATCTCGAGTCCCTCAGTTATGCTGCCGTTTCTGTAGTTATTCTCAGGGTCCCTTTTATTATGCTGACGTTCTGACACCCTCCTCCCCTCCCCCTCCTTGACCCCATCCCCCTCCTCCCCCCCTCCTCCCCCCCTCCTCCCCCCCCCCTCCCCCCCCCCCCCCCGTCCTCCCCCCCTCCTCCCCCCCTCTCCCTCCTCCTCCCCCCCCGGTGCTCCTCCCCCCCCCTCCCCCCTCCTCCCCCCCTCCCCCCCCTCCTCCCCCCTCCTCCCTCCTCCCCCCCTCCTCCCCCCCTCCTCCCCCCCCCTCCTCCCCCCTCCTCCCCCCCTCCTCCCCCATCCTCCCCCCCTCCTCCCCCCCTCTCTCCCCCCTCCTCCCCCCCTCCTCCCTCCTCCTCCCCTCCTCCTCCCCCTCTCCCCCCTCCTCCCCCCCTCCTCCCCTCCCCCCCCTCCCCCCGCCTCTCCCCTCCTGCCCCTCCCTCCCCCTCCGCCCCCTCCTCCCCCTCCTCCCCCCCTCCTCCCCCCCTCCTCCCCCTCCTCCCCCTCCTCCCCCCTCCTCCCCTCCCCTCCTCTCCCCCCCCCGCCTCCTCCCCTCCTCCCCGCCCTCCCCCCCTCCCCCTCCTACTCCCCCTCCCCCTCCCCCCCTCCTCCCCCCCTCCTCCCCCCCTCCTCCCCCTCCTCCCCCTCCCCGCCTCCGCCCCCTCCTGCCCTCCTCCCCCTCCTCCCCCTCCTCCCCCTCCCCCCCTCCCCCTCCTCCCTCCTCCCCCCCTCCCCCTCCCTCCCCTCCCCCCCCTCCTCCCCCTCCTTCCCCCTCCTCCCCGCCTCCCCCCCTCCCTTCCCCTTTAGTGCGCACGCATCGGCCCAGCCACCCTTTGCATTTTCTAAACCATGTGAGTCCGAAAGCCAGAAAATTGTTCCAACCAGCCAGTCTGCATCCAAGTAAGTTTCATCACAGATGCATGATTTCGTGGTTCCACAAGGGACGCAGCCACAATACACCCCAGCCCGGCACCTTTCGCTGGAGGTCGACGTCCTTGGCCGAGGCTCTGCACGGCCACGGTGTATCGGTGACCTCCGCCTGTCTAGCCAAGATGAGGTAGTGCGACTTGTTCGAACAAACCCTTTCCATCGTTTTCCTGTACTCTCATGTACCATGTTGTGGCGTATGCAGCATGTGTAGCCGATTTGGGGGATGACAACTGGCAGAGTACTTGGCGATTGCAAAGTAGGAGCCCCTTGCGGAGCTTTGTGCTTGTCACACTTGAGGTCTGAGCTGCGTGCTCAGAGGCGCCAGTGGTCAAGCAGTTTAATGCTGAAGCTGAGCAGTGCCAGTTGACACACAGCTACAGCAAGTGCGGCATGGGACATGACGCTTTGGCAGAAGCTTCTCCTGCATTAGGAACCTATTGGCATACTTAGATCGAATAGAATAGAAGGCAGCCTCCAAAATATCATGCTCTAGAGAACCCCCTTGCGAGCACAGACTGCCGAAGGCTTGACATTGACCAGCTCCAGCGGTGCAGCGCAGTCTTGCGCGAGGAGATGGAGCAGCAGAAGCAAGTCATCAAGCTTCTGATGCCGCTTGACTTTTCCCAGCAAAAATGCACCCGGCAGGGCTTGAAAGCATGGATGTGGGAGTATGTCGTTACCCCAGAAAGCTCAAAGCGTACGTCTTCAAACTTCTTCCTTCTTTGTCGACTTTGCTGGACTCCCGAAAGCCTCAAAGGCGTACGTCACAGACTTCTTCCTTCTTTGCCGACTTTGCCGGACATACCCCGAAAAATTAAAGCGCGCGTCTCAAACTTCTTCTTCCTTCTTTGTCGACTTTGCTGGACACCCGAAAGCCTCAAAGGCGTACGTCACAGACTTCTTCCTTCTTTGCCGACTTTGTTGGATATACCCCGAAAAGCTCAAAGCGTACGTCTCAAAGCTTCTTTCCTTCTTTGTCGACTTTGCTGGACACACCCCGAAAAACTCAAAGCGTACGTCTCAAGACTGTCTCAAGACTTCTTCCTTCTTTGTCGAGTTTGCTGGACACACCCCGAAAAGCTCAAAGCGTACGTCTCAAGACTGTCTCAAGACTTCTTCCTTCTTTGTCGAGTTTGCTGGACACACTTTGGAGTCTCAAGCTTCTTTCTTCTGCGTTGTCTTTGCTGGACACACATCCCGAAAAAGCTCGAAACGCACGTCTCAAGCTCACAGACGTCTTTCATCTTTGTTGACGTTGCTGGACACACCCCGAGAAGCTCAAAGCGTACGTCTCAAACTTCTTCCTTCTTTGTCGGTTTTGCTGGACACAACCCGAAAAGCTCAAAGTGTACATCTTCAAAGCAGAACAATCTTCCAGGAGGAGTGACAACATGGTATGCGAAATATTCGATACATTTTCGATGGCCGTTGGAACGGCTTGTGCGTTTATCTCAGGAAGCTCAGCATTCCTTGCGGCTATGTTCAAGTTTTTACATCGCATGAAGCGATGGGGTAGTCAACGCTCGAGTCAAGACCCTGGCTTGTGCACCTTGTGGCGCTGACTTGAACATGTCGAAGTCGAATCCCATCGGAGGCTCTCCAATGATCAGCTGCTCACAGTGGTCGAGGAGCAGCGCGCTCTCATCGAGCAGCTGCGCTGCCAGACGCCGCCCAGCACGATCAGGACACTTGTCGCTGTTGAGGCTTGAATGTGACCTTAGCTACGAACGGTCCCCTGGGATTGCATGGGTCACCCAAAGCACTCCCCCTCCCCTAACTGAACGCAAACTCACCCAACCCTCCCCTATCACCCAACAGTTGACAGCCGACCCAGGTTTAGCTCATATACACATGATTGTTCTGTGTGCGTGGTCGTCGAGCTTCCAAGGACGGAGCCGACATCGATCGGCAGCATGACCTGCGAAAGGTCACAGGCGCACAAGGGTGCTCACTTCTTTTGTTTTTGTCTCCTGTCGTCCTGTCTTTGCCCATTACACACGTGAGTCATGTGAGGGATCTCGAGAACTGACCAAGAGGAAACATAAACGACTCATTCGGAGGCTCGCGCAAGTATGAAAACCGCGCACGTTCGGTCCACGTAAGCGTCCGCGGAAGCAGGTTTCGCGTAAGCGAAGTTTCGGATTTTCTGGCAAGCTTGCGATACTGTTGATCAACCCGTATCTTGTGATGATTGGCAGGTGTGAGTCTGAGCTCTGATACGTAGGGCCTCAGGATATGGGCTTGGGGGATCTCAGGGAGGTTAGGGCTTCGCAAGGCAAGCCAAACATCCAGCCTGCCCAAATCCAAAAGTTCGCAAAAAATGTCCTTTCCGTTCCGTTCCATTCCCTTCCGTTCTGGGCGTTCCGTTCCATTGCTTGCAATAAAAGTGCAAGGCTGCTAGGTTGTGAGGCAATTTGAATTTTCCAGGCCTTGGAGAGGTCATTTTGGTGACTGCTGGCCAGGTTTCTTGAGAAGTTTCTGTCTGTTTGGTATACGGGGCAGAGGGCAGCAGTCGAGTCCCTTGTAAAAAACACGGGGCTCTGCATAAGGCCAGAGGCAGAGGCCAGAAAGGCTAGCTTGCAGGAACAGACAAAATCATCTTTCCATGGCTCGGAAAAACCGTGTGGCAACCGCCTGCCAGTTTCCTCTGAGTTCGTGCTGGATTCGGCAGGCCCCGTTTAAAGAATCAAAGGACCCTCCAGGGGTCTCCAAGTCAAGTGTAACAGGTCCCCCGCACCAGCTTCCCTGCTACTTCCCTCTGGGAGGCTACTTCTGAACTCGGGAGGCTCTGCTGAGGGCTAGAAGCATAATAGCAGGTGAGAAAAAACGTGTGGGCCGATGAGCTCAGCAGGGACACCGTGTCCCGCTTCGGCCATCGCATGCATGAGCGTCTGCAGAACAGCTCTTAAATTACGCGTTGCAGAATAAGGTCACATCTACAACCGGTCTCTTGACTCCTTCTCTAGACCTGCACGCGCTGCAGAAACGATTTGTGTGTCGGTAGATCGGCACGCGCTGCAGTAGATGACTTGAAACGCGGCAGGGAGGCAGAGTAGCGACAGTTCAGGGGTTGCTTGAAATTAAAGCAAGGGACGGTAAGTAGATGCCTCGCCGCACACAGTCATCGTGCAGTGCATTGCGTTTGCAGCTTAACAGTCAAGGCACAACGTGATAGCCTGAATGCAGCCTGTCTTCTTTTTCGTTCGCGTGCTTTTTTACAAACGATTTTTAGCACTTGCGGACTGGTGTGGGTTAGGCTTACACTGGCTTGCATGTGAAACATGAAACATGCGATATGTGATGTACATGTAACCCACTCCCAGCGTGCAGCTGCACGAACATGCGTACAACTCGCACAGCTGCTTAACTCTCAGCAGCTTTCAATGATGTTGCACAAACCTCAAGTACTCAAGTACTGCAAGTTAATACAAACTCCTTTGGATGCCTCGAACTAGCACTTCTCGAGCAACCCCGGCAAAGAGTCCGTGTGCGTTGTGTGGCGTGTGCATGTGCAGCTTAACGTAGAATTCCTCCCAGAGCCCCTAATCTCCTCGGGGGATTGCATTTAGAAAGCGTTTCGGGGGTTATATGCGGAAAGCCTCCACGGCCCCGACACATCGCTCAGCAAAACTCTATCGCTTCCTAAGCCATGGCACACGCAGATGGTCTGGAGCTCTCGGTTACGTTTGGCGTCGCAGGGTTAAAGAAACTACCAGAACGCGGATACCCAAGTGCGCTGGCCCTGACACAGGAACCGCCTACAAAGCAGCGCGGGAATGGAGCAGGCGGCCGCGTGGCATCCAGTCAAGTAACAGGTTCTTGAAAGCCGTCAGTTTCGGACAATTTGAGAATGTTCCAACCTAGCTTGCTCATGTGTTCCTTGGCGCTGTTCGACCCTCTGGATGCAACGGCACAGAGAGAGAGAGAGAGAGAGAAAAAAAAAAAACCAGCTTGCTTTCTACCAACGAACATCCTGCAAACAGGTGGGAAACAGAAAGTTGATGCTCAGCGCCTCACAGATTTGGGGCGTGCGCCGACACACGTCCGCAGAAATCGCTGTGGGCGGCGCAGCGTGATGTGAAGGTAATGTGAGTATACGATGACCAGAAGAGAAGTGATGTTGCAGGCCCTCCTCATTGTGTTAAATTGTGCCACCAAGTTGTTGAATCTTGTGTAATTATCGGTGATGGGTGCTCGGCCTCCACGAACTTGCAGCGTTACAGGGATGCAGATGGGATGAAGGGAGGGTCTTGCTTGAACAATTTAGTGCTGGTAGTCATTTACATCAAGTACAAACAGTTGAAACTCACGCGGAGAACACGGAACGATCTCAGTACAAGCTTCTGAGGAGCGGCAGCGGATATGCCTCTTCGGACGACGAAGCTTATCAAATCTGTTACCATGCCGACAAAAGTTTTTGCGGTGCTCCGCATGCTAGGGCACGTTTGTCCACGGCTTGTGTCCAAGATGGGGAAACCGGCAGAGCATTTGTTTCAGGTGTTTTTTCCAACGCTCAGAGGCTCAGCATCCTGCAGAAACGCCGAATCGCCAATTTTCACCCGGGGGCCCCAAGGCCGGCAAGCAAAGATCGTTCTCACATGTTTTCACATCACTGTCAGACCACATGAAATCAGCCAGGGCATGCTAGGGTCAAACACTTGCCCGCCCGCCCCAAAGCCCCAGCCACTCGGCGCTCTCGGTGCTCCGATGGCTCGCCGCAGACTTCGCAGCGCGAGGCCGAGGTGTTTGGAGGGGCTTGGTTGACATCCGGGTGTTTTGCAGTGTAGTTGCCTTTGTTCCTTAGCTTTGAGACTTCGGGCCTTGGACATGGGAAATCCTGGGGTATGACAGGTTCGTATCACTGCGGCGCCAGGTCCGCAATGGAATTCCAAACAGCATGTGACTGCAAAGCATGCTTCAACACTTTTTCTCACCTCTTACGGAACAACCATAGTGACCAATAGTGACTGGAGTACTTGAAGTGACTGGTGTTCTTTTCAGTCGACACATGTCTCACGTTGCGGCCGCTGACATCTGCCAATACTCGGAACCTGACGTAACATGATGACCTGACAGTGCACCGAAAATGCCTTTGATGACATGCTTTATGCTACCTACAGGTCGTCATGCCATCTTGTTGATCGGAGGAAAGTTCGCAGAAATTGCATCAACGGCTGGATGCGTAGATTTTTGCCTGTGCCCAAGGTATTCATATGCAGTTTGATTCACCACGAGCTCCAGATGGAGGCTGAGGGAGAGGCTTGTGCAAAGCGGCGAAGATGTGCTTTGCTGACGATCCAGTATGCCATTGTTCTCGTGTAGCTCCACTGGCTCCACTAGGTCACTAGGTCTTCAGTATGTATGCCATTTCATTCGGTCGTGCGATCGCAGAAAGCAAAGTCTGTATGCACACGAGCTGCCCAGCTATTTGCAGCAGAAGATGCAGCCTTGATGCTCACCGCACTCGCAGTTGCATGCCAGTTGCATTGTGGCTTGTGGTGTGCTGCAAGTGCTACGGTCAGCTTCATTTGCTCGGGCTCCAAGCTTTGCGTCGCCTCCTGTGGGTTGGAGGCAGGCAGCACGAGTGTTGTTGGATGGCACAGCACAATCCAACAGTATGTAGTCTAAAGGTCACTGGCTTTTCACCTAACAATGATGCAATTGCCAGGCCATGGCCGGTGCCGTGCGAGGAGTCACAGGAACCTTGGCCTTGGGTGTAGTGGACAATCTTGGATGCCTTGAGACCCGCCTCCGATTCCTCAAGGCAAGGAAGCTGTGACCGAGCAGGACTTGTGCAGCACCGACAGCGGAACTAGCTCCTCGGACGGCCAACCCATGCCAAAGTAGGCCAACATGAATTGCCTTGCAAAGCATTGCATCGCTCCACGTGGCCTTGGATGATTTCATTCTGGAGTGTCACTTTGGTGCGTGAACACGAGTCCTGGCACTAAGGCCAGAGTAGGGAACTAGATCCGCCTGCAGGCGCCCAAGGCCTCGAATATCGATGATCCTCTTACTCTGGCCCCAGACGCTCTCACACTACCCTCGTGCTGCACGAGAGTGCTGCTCTCGCGCTGCTGTCGCCTAGGCGCCGCGTGCATTTCAGGTCACGAACGATGACCACCTCGGTTTTTCGTGTGTCCATGACATGCTCACTCACCTAGGTGCCGTGTGCATTTCAGGGCCGGTAGACATGTGCACCTGCTAGACCGGCTGGACACAATGAGCGGGGAATCTAAGATAGGGCTTGTGGGCTGCACGACAACTGCGACTCGGATAAGGGACAGTGAAATCGTATCTTTTGACCAACCCTCGCCGTAAATTTCCAAACGTTTGATCGTCGCAGAAGTTTTAACATTCAATGTTTCTAGTTCTTGAGTGAGCATGTAGCCGCGTGAAACCAAATGACACACGCATTGAAACTTCGAACATCGCCTTTGCCACCTGAGGCTGCTCTTCGGCCACCTCAGCCGGCGCCTCCGTAGGAGCTGCCGAGTCAAGGCCTCGTCCCTTTTCGGTTGGAGAAGGGTTGTGGGTCTTAAAGTTCCGATAAAGCGGGCGTATGTCAACGGTTTTTTGCACGATGCCATGCTGCGGCCATGCTCATTGCGTCTCCAGCTTCCTGGTTGTGGTGCATGTGTCAGGCCCGCTCGGCCATATGACAAGGCGCACAAGGGCTTGCGTGTAACTACTCGGAAATGCAGGCTTGCGCAGTAGGATCGTGACGCGGCAACGGGATCTAGCAGCCGGCACGAACCTACATTCATAGCGTGGACTGCGATGTTGACCTTGCTGCTGGCATCACACAAAACTGATGACTCTTCAATGAGGCATTAGCAGCTTCGTCTTTGATGTCAGCGCTCACTGTTCCAGACTTATGACGCAAGGCTGATGGTCGGCGCGAGACATGCTTAGATCCTCGATGTACCAACTTGAACTACTTTCATGAAGCTTGGTCTCAAAGTTTTTCGCTTGCGTGTGCATCTACGTAGTGATGAACAGAACATGTCGGTCCGGCTTGGATCTCAGGATTTTGCTAGCCTTGACCACCTGATTTCTGCCGGCCGCTTTACAAAAAGCATCTTGGCCTCAGATGTGGCGACACTCCCCAACCTGGAAGCGCGGGATGCAAAGGTGTGACGAGTGGCCAGAATTTCCAGAATCCTGTGTTGCCAGGAAAAGACTTGAGCGAGTGCTGCAGAGGACAAGGCAAAGTCGAACTACATTCGATGCTGCTTGGACTGCAGTCTTGCGTACAGCGAGTCCAGGGCATTGCCCATGAAAATCCGAACGAAGAGTTCCAGTGGTTTGCGTCTCTCCTTGTCTTCCTTCATGTTGGATTGGTCTGTCGCATTTTCGGTGGCCTGTGTCTCTCCTTTGTCTCCATTCATGTTGGAAAGCTCTAGCGTGCACCGTTTGGGGTCTTGGCTTGTCGGCTTGCCACACGACCAAGGTCCTCTGAAGACTATGAGGAGCTCGTTGTGGCTACAAGCTCGGTTGAGTTCAATTGAGCAAGTACCCAATGGATCTTCAACAAGAAAAATCAAATGGCTTCACTAGGCTTCAATTGCTTTGCGCCTTTGGGTTTTGCATTCTCGGAGTTGAACTTAGAGTTGCCGCGGATATCCGTGGATGTCTTGCGAGGTCAAGAAGCTGCCAGCAGCACGCGTCAACATCAACAGAGGTTGCTGCGGGAGGGAGACTGGAGTGAGCACGAAAACAAGCACCTGCCGCCACGCTGTTTCAACAGTTGCTGGCAGACGTTGCTGCCAGAATTCGCAAGAGTTACTTGGTGCTGCCTTAGAAACTGTCACAGCACTGTTCCATCATGCTCAGTCCTGTAGCACTACGGAGCCTGAAGCTTGCATCTTGGACAGGGAAACCGGGAAGCGAGCTCGCTATGCATCAGCGCGCCATTGCACGCGACTCGGAGGACCTCTGTCCAGCAGTTCCGCGAAATATGCCTGGGATGACCTGGCTGATCAAAAAGGAAACGAATTTTTCAAGCTCCCGAATATTAGTCGAATAATGGGTGGACGTTGGGTGTTGTTTGATATGTTTCGGGTATAAACAAAGTGCCCCCGAAGTAAGCAACTGCATGTAATGGTGTTTGTGGACGGCAGATGGCACAGGATCCGTTGGCGGAAATCGGCGTTTTCAGCTTTTTGTGCTTAGCTCAGACCACTGTGGTGTGGTTCGCTGGCTTAGCTGCTGTGGGCCACCTCCCTCAATCAAAACCAGCAACCCTCAAACCCTCAACCCCATGAGCGCGCCAAAGCGCCAAACCCTCAAGTGTACCCAAAAGGCCTAAACCCTAACAGCCCCCCACCTTGCCTTACGCGAGTGTGAGCGTCGAAAAGCCCCAAACCCTTGCGGCCAGAATGCTAGCCCCGATCACTTCAACACTTCTGGAGCGCGTGACTGCAAAATTCTGCCAAGGCGCCGCTGCGAGAAAACTCCTCAGCACCTTGGCAACGAAGCAGTGCGTCAGGGCCACCGTACAGGTCTTGCCTGGCTCGAAGTGTCTTAGTGCCATAGACGCCGGTGTGCGCATGCGAGGTACTTGCTGGAGATGCTGTCAGCATTCCAAGTTAGCGATGAGATTTGGTTAGTCCTCGAGAACGCCGACGGCGGGGACCTTTTTGGCCGCTTGCCTCTGACGGCATTTGGGAACCTTTAAGTGAACGGCACTATATTTCACAATGCCAAACAAGAAGTCAAAACTGAAGTTCTCGTTTTGCTTTGTGTTGATTTGTGTTGGGCTCATAGGCACTTGAGCCACTTGAGAACTTGCATAAGGCACACTGTCAAGACAGCATGTATGGCAGATCTGTTGGCTTCGCAGATCCGCAAGGCGTGGTTTCCTCCCAGCGGCCATCCACAGGGCAGATCATGCTTTGGGCCTGGCAGCTGCTCCAGGCTGTGAAGTTCCTGCACATGCAGTGTGCCCCGGCTGCAACGCAAGGATTCTTGCAAATGGATATCGCGACATCGCGATATACCACATAGCACAAGGACATCAAAGATTAAAGCAATGATGTTGCGAGGACCATGCACAAAAAGCCTCCCGGCAACTCGCAGGTTGAGAGTTCTCGAGGTCATGGAAGGGCTTCGGCGGTGAGTCGCGGGACGCGAGAGGGTCTGGCATGAACGTGGGAGTCGCTGCCCGTGCGCACGTATGCCAGTGTCACGCTTGCATCCTCAAGCATGTCGGCTATAGCAACATGTGGAGGAAGCCAAAACACGGGGGAGACATGCAACAGCAACCTTACATGCAGGCATTGTGCGGGAAAGCGGACTTCTTGTAAACACTGGCGATACCATCACATATGTCTGCCATAGCATCGGGCAAGGGGTTGCGATGGGTTGTGGCTGACGTGGGCATGGTACGGTCCCAAGGTCCAAAAGCGGCGCCTACGGGTTACAGGGCTGCGAAGGAGCCCGAACCTGTGAAACCCCCCGCACAGATTGCTAAGCTGGGATTCGAGCTCGGAACTGTCGAGCTCGGAACTGTCGAGCTTGGAACTGTCGAGCTCGGAGAAGCTGTGAGGGACCTCAGTGTGACCGTGTGGAGGCTGTGGAGGGGAACCCTGCCCTTGAACCACTTCGACTGGGGCGCTATGGCTTGAGCATGCTTGAGCAACATAGACCTTGCAACCTGACAGGGTGCCTTTGGAACGGGGGCCTTTGCATAGAGGGTCCCCCGACACAGCGTCCGTGAGAGTCCACTCCGGGGTTCCTTCTCTTTTTTGGAGCAATGCTTGAATTTTCTCAAACGCCAGAAAACATCCTTGAATCTTGCAAGTAAGCATCGGCCCGCGGAAAATATACGCGGCACCAAAAAGTCGCCCAGGGGCTAATACTTCAACACACATCTAAGGCTACAACCTTCTCATGAACCCGGCGAAAGCTTCAACCCTTTCTGAATCCACAGATGCATACGAGGCTTCGTCCTAAACATGTCTAAGAGCCCCCCCCCCCCGTCACAAAATCAAAGAAGGGTTCCAGCAAACAAGCAGCTCAAAGCTTGTTGCACAAGGCTGAGGCACCATCCACACCGACTTAGAGATAACCATGGGTGGCAACTAGCGCGCTAAGAAGGGCTTTGCTTCTGGGTGAGACACGGTATGATACGCCTTAGACCCGAGGGCCTCGGCGATAATTGTAAATCTGAGTCCAAATCGTGCCGGCCCAAATGTAAAAGGCATCAGCCACCGTGACATCTCCTTGGAGAACGTGCTGCTAAGTGGTGGAGATGTTCGGCTGATGGATTTCGGACAAGCAGTGCAGACGCACCTGGAAACAGGCACGGGGCCCACTAGACACCAAAGTCTTTCCAATTTTCTGAAAATTGAACAACAGGCTTAAGCCATATCGTCTTTGCCCATTCACATCTGTGATGTCAGCTTTGACATGGCCATAGTAGCTCTCTTCCGTGCAGTGAACTCTTGAGCGAAATCAGCTGTGAAACCCTTCACGCTGCCAGGCGAGCTATGTCGATACTTCGTCCCAGCAGGGAAGCCCTACTACCGGCCGCCAGAGGCCTACATCCCAGCCCAAGGAGCCTAGCTGAAGAAGCAGGTGCTGAACAATTGTGGAAAAAAGCACGGTTTCCCATGTTCTAGGATAAGAAGCTGCTTCTAGATCCTTCTGAGTCTTCTTAGGGAGGTCATGTTCGCATGATTTAAGCCCCTTCCCCGTCCTCCCCTCCCACTTGGCGGAGGATCTCTGGCGGTCATGGCACCTGTGGGCTCTCGAGCGGGACAGGTTGCTTTGGCACTGACCCCGGCTCAGGACAGCTGGTCGAAGGATTTGCGAGAGCTGCAGTGGCGTCGGTGGCCCTGTTAGAGCACAGTGCCGTCTTGATCGGCACGAAACCATAACATTCGGAGCAGGAGAGCACTTTTTGTTCACCTATTCACCTCTCCGGTATATCTTCATCTTGTTCTCGCCGTGTCCACCATTAAAGACCCCGGAATCCCACCACCTGTCAGTCTTGCCCATGAATCCGCCCTTGAGACCCTAACTCTCATGTCTTGGCCTAACCGTTCACACCCTTGGAATCGCATGCCAGGTTAGCCGTGAAAGCCCTGTTAATATAATACCAGAAAGCGTGAACAAAGGCGAAAAGAGTACGTGAATAGGACGGTAACATGATATCCCCGTAATAATAGCCGAAAAGGAATGAGAAATGTATGAATCTTGCAAGCCCCACCCTTTTTATCACTATCTACTGGGGCGTTTTGCTACAGTCATTTTATTGTTATTGTTATTGTATTTTGCTTGTCATTTTCTTTTTTCTTTCACTTCTTTTCCCCTATGTTCATTAGTATTTGTATTTTGCTAAACCAAATAGAATTTGCAAGAAAATAGAATAAAGAAAGAAATACCAGGAAACTAGTGAATAATCATACTAATAAAAGAAAACCGTTAAATCCTAATAATAAAGGACATAGGTTCGATCCCATCAATTCCAATGAAAGACTTGTGAATTAAAGACCAGCGAAGCGAATTCAAAATCCTTACTGACTATATTCTTATTGCGCGTGCTCACTTGCGATTAAATTAATGCAAGCACATACGATATCAATAAAGCTATTGAGTATAAAATTACAAGCTACCTTTTGAATCTAGTTTCCTGGCTCATGATCCCAAGGTTAAAGGACCTCATGCAAAGGAAACCTTGCAGGACTTTCTATGTCACGTGCGCCTGCTGGAAGCAGCTGAGCCTGGGCAGCTTTGTGCAGCAGAGCCCTGGGGCTACACGGCCCCGCCCATAGACATCTTCGCTTGTGCTGTCCGGGCCTCGGTGCGGTCATCCAGCCTTCTGCGCTTTGCCTTCTGACGACTGAGTCGTCGAGGATGCGTGAGCTTAGGTCAGCATCACCATCATGTTCCTGGCAGGGCCACCTTGGCGACAGGCGGGACACGGAGACAGCAAAGTACAGAAAAGTGCCTCCTCGTTGGTCCCGTGTGCGCTCAGGCACGACCTACGGACAAGTATTTCCAGTGGGTCCAAAGCAATGGCCTCGCGGCCTTGGCCACGTCTTGGAAGAAGGACGGGTTGGAAGAAAGATGCCCTTCAGGGGTCCTAAAGGTCGCAGAACATGACCACTCGTGATAATTGCGGGGTGCATATCGGCATGAAGCCAAGGCAGTCCCATCGTCAGCTGCAGAGTTATTGAGTCAGATGATGCAAACAGACCCAGACCGACGGCCCGCTGCTTGTCGCAAATTGATGGCGTGAAGCGTCTTCCAGACTCCAACTCCCGGCATTCCAAGACATTCCAAGATATTTCAAGACATCCCAAGACATTCCAAGTACTCCTTTCATGCCCTTTCTCAGGCTGTTGAGGCCTGCCTGGGTCACTCCTGGTTCGCGCCGCTCTGCTCGGCACCCGTAGCCCTCCGAGAGGGTGCCTCGAGCCCTGCGGGCTCCCCAGGATCCCCGCGCCTGGCCGGAGACTGCGATGACCCCAGTGAATCCAGTGAGCTCCATGCCCCATGTTGGGCCCCATGGAGTTGGCATAGTGGCATAGTGCTTTCGAGTGTTTGCATATAAGGCTACCGCGAACAGGAGTGGGTGTGCCGATCCCTCCCGGGTCTTCCTGCTGAAGTTGCCGCGCGGATGCACTGTGATGCACTGTGATGCACTGTGATGCGTTATTTGCTGCATGGCTTAGACTTCCTGGCCTGTCCCCAAACACTGTGTCAACACTAGGGTTCCAAGGCTCAGGTAAAGAGGAGTAGATGCGGTTGCACACACGGCACGGTTTCTGCGATGTTCGTGGGCGCTCCCGCCTCGGTCCCAGTGGTCGCTCGGTGTAGCGAAGCGCGCCTTATATTAAGGACCTCAAAGGCAAAGGGATCATATTTTAGAGAAATGACCACATGGCAAGCGCTACCCATGCGACCTAGAAGCACGTGCACAGGACCGACGTGGACCGACGTGGGAGTGCGATTTCGAGCACAACTGATTTACCCTTAGAACGGGCACTCGAAGCAAACAATCCAACGGCCTGAGGCACAGGGAAAGTACGTCCCTGCCATGACTGCCACCCCTCTTATTTAGGGTACGCAAAAAGGGACCCTAATTTAGACTGTAGAGAACTGACCATGTGTCGTCGTGGTGGTCTTAAACTGTTTGGAGTCTACGCCGCAATAATTTCAACATGTTCAACTGCTCTCAGGCGTATGCCTCGCCAGATGGCCCAGAATTCGATGTGCCGGGCGATCCGTATCGAGATTTCCAGCCTTGGAGCACAGATTTGTGCCTTGGCCAGGGGCGCGATTTCAACGCTTTTCAGGAGACAATTGTCAAGTTGCCCAGGCACCTGCCTCTTGAACCTGGCGATGCAGAGATCTCTGGACTCCTTTGTGACGTACCACCTGCACCACCACCTCTGCCGCTGGTGAGGGAAGACAGGACTCCCCATCCCTGCTCAAGTTACATTTAGTTAGATTCGGGCGTGAATGATATGATGTCTCGCTCCAGTTGTGCAGAATTTGTCGTGCAGTTTCTTAGACTATCCATGTCACACTTGCCCCTCCATGGTGCAGGACCGACATCACGAAGCGACTGGGCTGCATTGAATTTGGCTGTCAGGTGCCAGTGACCTTCTGTGGCCAGGTTGCAACCTTTGTTGACGACGTACTGCCAAGATGGTTCAAAAGCCTGGTTTTGTTTGAAGGATGGAGGCTGATGTGGACCGTGATTTGCAAGCTTCATTTGCCCAAGCTGGACCGGATCGCCAATGCAGGCGCAGACGGATGTATATGGATATTAGAGCTTTGCATGTGGGAGGGTAATGCGCTTTGGCCATGAATAAGCGGATGGTTCTTCCTGGTTTTGTGGGAGGGAGCGGGGAGAGGGGGGGGCGTGGGGCGGGAACTTGCCTGGATTGTCGGTGAGATTAAAGACCCGAATCTCGTGCTCTTCGCGATCAGCCGAGTTTGCGTGCACGTTCGTCATCATCGTCGTTTGTTTTGCCGATTTTAACAGAATGATGCAGAAGTGGATGGTGACCTGTGGACACAACCCGAAAGTGCTCAAAAAAGCTTCCACAGAGCTTTCGGGCCCTCGCGCTTGGACCTCCAAACAATGGAAAACTCCTCATTGGTTTTCTTCATCTCAGAAGAAAGATGATTTTTGGTCGTCGTCTTGGAAAGCTTCCAAGCAAGCCAGACCGCAATGCCAGCAACGCAATGCACCCGCTCAAAGGCAGCCAAAGGGAAGTGCAAGACCGTCGCATCGCAAGATGGAGTTCCGTTGGAAAGCGTGACGATGTAGAATGGGCTGTTCCCATTCAGAAAGCTCTGAAAGATGCATCCAAACCTCACTCTGTCTCCGAGATTGCTTGCTGTGGAGTCGACGATGGAAGCAATCAACGACAACATTGATTCAGAGCTTCTTCCACCCCTTGCAAGGAGCATGAGACTACTTGTCTTTCTTCGTTGGGAGAAGACAACGTTGACTGGGCTAGTTTCATGACTAGAGAGTCCCATTGAACCCCAGTGCGGGTTTATCGTTTTTGATGTATCTTCTTCGAATCCCAGAGTGAGAATGCAGGATGACATGAAGCAGAACGGCTGTGCTGAATCTGCAGCTATACGGGTCCTTGATCGTATCCTTATTCGGGTTCCGAGCTTTGAACGATGAGCAAATTCGATATTTGCACTTCCTTCTGGAAGATAGATAAGGGCAGAAAGGGTGTACACATCCTTGGCCAGTTTCAATTCCGTTGTGGAAGCTGTCAAGCTGGATGCGGTGGACAACATCTCACGAAGCTTTCGGAGGCCCTGCATGGACAGACTCGCCCATCGTGACGTGAAAGCGGACGTCTTCAGCACGCACCACAAAGGCAGCGTCACAGCGCAGATCCGGCACTGAGTTCGCCCATCTCCTTCACGCACCTGCTTCGGCAGGAGCACCACCCGAAAAAAGTATGTGCCATCGCAGCACTGATCAGAAAGGGCTCGGGAATCCCTGGCCAAAATCTGAAAATCGATGCTGCCCGCGGGCATATACCAAAGAATGCGAGCATTGCATGTGTCAAGATTCATCCCACAATATATAGTACGAAACCCACGATCTCGTCATCCAGACCTCCGACCAAGAAACCAAGAAAGAGAGCAAAACTATGAAAATCCTCGCATGACGCTACGAACACGGTTTGAAGCACGACCGTACACGACTTGTTTTTGCGACCTCCTTCACATCCGATACCTGTACAAGAAGATCAAGAAGCACACGCAGGATGTGGGGTCCTCTACCCCAACGTTCTACTGGAGTAAATACAGCAACATCACCAAGGTCACTCCATGTGAAACCATACAGCCTGTACGGATACTTGCTGCCAAACAAAATTCGTACAGCTTTGGTGAGCAGACTGCACCTTCATTGCCTAGCAAACCGCAGGACGCGGGGTCTTCGCCTCCAACGCTCTACTGGCACGACCGCCCCACCCTCGACACCGCATTTGAACAATTCAGTTTGTGGTGCACCGCACTTCAAACAAGAAGTGCTGTTGCACTCAGCCTGGTCTTTGGCCGACTGATGCGATTCTTATCATTTTAACATAACTGTTCCACTCAACAATTTTTCAGGTGTTGGTCAATCCTCTGTTCGCTTCTCTTCTATGCATTCAGGATAGACAGACACACACACACACATACACTGTAATTGAACAACAAGCGAACCAAAGACCCGCTACATTGTTGCCGCTTGCATTGGTTTACTCATCTTTTTCAATATTTTCTGTGCAGCAATTTGCCTTCAAGCTTTCGTGTTTCTACCGCGACATTTCTGTGGATTCATATGACACTATCCAGAGATGTTTCGTGACATTCGGCCGGCGTTGAGGGCATCACACCCTTTCAGCCGCCACGCAAGGGCTTCAGAACTTGTTCCAGTCTCGCTCCATTCCGCAATATTCCCCGTGGGCGCCTTGCCACCGATCAAGAATCAAGTGGAAAGAGCGCAATTTTGGATAGACGTGTGTGTGTATATATATATATGAGTGATTGTGTGAGTGTGATTGTGTGGGGGTCTCAGTTGTCGTTCCATTGGCGTAGTGGATGTTCGCTGGTGGCAGGGACGGGCATTCGAGAGACGCCTTAGCCGAGGACCTGGCATGTTTTAGTTGACTTCGGTGCAGCAGCTGCGAACGCTTCGCGCGGCTAAGCCGAAGCTTGAGGACGCGCCGATCAGGCCATCATTGCCTACGTGTGGGCGCAGCAGACGCTGGCCAGAAACAAGGCGTAGTTGTTTAGCAAATCGATATGGCCCATCGCTGCGAATCCCTCTATGTCCAGCTTGGCCTGAAAAGCCAGAGGAGCTTTCTTCCCCTCTCACCCTC